TTTTGTTCTAATGCATCTCTTTAATTAAAAACAAGATCTGAATAAGTGTCATACTGTCGCTGTGCTGTGGAGATCAACTACAACATAAAATTTAATGAACTGAATGTGCATGTTCAAATACATTCATTACTGCATAATTTCTACTTCTGGTGATTGAAGGATTTTGGATTTTAACTGACAATTTTATTTTAGCTTGGTCTTACTCTTGAGGTTTTCGTATTTCTTCCACAGCTACACTTATAAAGATAACACTTATAAAGACAGATAAAACTTTAAAGACATTTTCAGCTTTGGTAGATAAAAGCACAGCAAACACCAAAATATATCCAGTACCTGCGGGATAAATCCAAAAACTACCCAATATCAAACATTAAAACACTCAAAAAGTAAGAACTCCTGCCATATTTGCAGGCATTCTGCAATCCTCAAAAGACTCCACTGGGCTTGTTTCTATCAGTTATTTCAAATGATGCACATGAAAGCAGCATCACTGTGAGAAAGGAGAAACAGAGCTGGAAGCAAGGCTGCTGTCCTCCAGAATGAGGAATCCTTGCAGATCAGAAACCAGATTTGATGGGGTGAAGTAAACAATGTCAAGAGTCGTCACAAAACCTCATCAGGTTTCATTAATCGAAGCCGTCAGTAGCATGCCTGCACATGCACTGCACAATCTGCTGTTCAAGATACAAGCACAACTACACTCTGGCTGCTGATTGGTGATCAGCTGCAGATAGACGTGTTTGTGTGCGTGCATGTGTGAACGCCAAGTGGAAAATTTTGCTACTGCTTATTCGGTTAATGGTTCCTGTCATGTAGCTAAGCAAACACTGTAAAATGCACTATTTGTTACTTTGTGCTCAGCTATTCTCATGGATCCATCAGTTCTGGTGGCCCGGGGGACCCTTCCCATATTAAATATTTTATGGTGTAATAATGAGATGTGTTTGTGTGTGCCTGTTTGGCTTTCAGCTCAATTGAGAGACAGATTAAAAGAAAATGCTGAGTCAAGGAACTGATCAAAGGGGCAGTTATCAGTCGTGACCTTTCAGAGAGGTCACGACTGATAACTGGACTAGTATATAGTGCTTTTCTACTCTGACTACCGGTCTCGCTCACTCAATCACACACACAGTTTTTTCTATATCTAAGCACTTTGTCCAACAGCCGTGCCCACGTTCACACACCAGTGGGTGCATCTAGGTTTCAATATCTTACCTAAGGAAACTTTGAGATGCAGACTGGAGGAGCTGGGGAATCAACCTTTTGACCTCCCGGTTCATAGACAACCCGCTGCAGCTCCTGAGCCACAGCTACCATTGAAGAATTTTATTTTATTTTTTAAAACTCAAATGGACCTTTGAAAAAGCAATCCTGTCATATCTGTACTAGTGAAATTCCCTCTACTTGGGGCTAAGCCAAAAGGCCATCTTCTGCCTCTAGCAAGTTCAAACCTTGAGTGCCAGACTTTTAACAAATTCACAAAGAGAGGTGAGCATCATTCCCATCTGTGTTACACTACACCTACTACCTGTTAGGTAGAAAACTGGTTTGAAACTTTAATAATTTTTAAAAACGACAGTGTAGATTTACTCCCACCTCTTGAACTGACATCAAGATGAACTCCCCTAATTGTTTCCAGAGGTTAAAGTTGGCCAGGACAGGAATGGGGCACCTGTTCTGGCCAACATGTGTAATTAGAGTAATTAGATCAATAATTAACAGCATCTAATAGATGATAATATAAAGCAAGCTCATTCTTTGTTTGCAGCCGTGCATTTCTTCTGCCAATAAGATTCTCACTCAATAGTTCAGGAATGATTGTCACAGTTTTCTCCTGCACACTTCACACATCTTTGTTTTTTCCATCACAAATCTGTGATTCATGCTGCAAAGATCAACAAATCGACATTAGCAAACTTCGGCATGCACACGGCAGCTAAGTGGCGGTTAATTTAAAATGCAGCATTTCAAACAGCTCCGCGAATGTGTCCAATCACATAAACTGTTCCTGCGCAGCACATTAGGGCTTCCATCTAGAGGTAGCTGTATTGTGTGGATTGAATGATAACAGCTCTTAACATGCATGAAAGAGAGAACAGGAGCAGAAGACGATTAGTGACTTTGAAAGGTAAGAACTGCTCAGCAAGTGACATTTGATAAATCTAAAAAAAGCATTTAAAGCAAGTGTCCTAATTAATTTGAGATTATTATAATCAGACACTGGGCCTGTACATAATGCGCTGCTGGAATTATCTATCATCTACACATCGTAAGATTTCTTTAAAATAGATCATTTTAAAAAAATAATGTAACAGAACGACTGTACTGGACAGTAGATGCAGAGTAAGTCGGGTTTTTTGCAATATTGTTGCAAAGTTTGCAGTGACAGATGTTGTATTACTGCAGAACACACAGCTCTGCACTGTCGGTAGAGGTGACCAATCGAATTCAAATTTCATTTGTCACATACACAACATGTAGTGAAATGCTTGTGTCCGAGCTGCGGACAGGCTGCCGACGTAGCTGCGCCATTCCAGGGCTTAGTTTTAGCATGGGGGGTCTAGCCAGGACACTTACTGGATACCGAGTGGGAACGGAGCTTGCAACTCGTGCTCCAAAGGGGTGTAGTTTTACCACTTTATCTAGCTGCAAATCTGTCGATCCTCTTTAGTATGATTTGCCAAACTCCACATGCTCTGTGCTACTTTTATACAGCTTATTGGCTAGAAAGCAGTCGTGACAGATCATGTAACGCTGGGAAGAAAACGACAGCAAACGTGCCAAAACTCATGGTCATCTTTGTGCTTGCATTGGTCTTTACAGTATGGGTTTCTGTTTTCAGGCTAAATTTACCTGTTAATCTTCCCTCAGTGACCTCTGTTTCCTTGCCTCTCTCTCTCTCTCTCTCTCTCTCTCTCTCTCCCCTAATAACAGTTGCATCCACTCAGTATCCACGTGAATCTTCTGATAATGTTCTACTCA